AGAGAGAGAGAGAGAGAGAGAGAGAGAGAGAGAGAGAGAGAGAGAGAGAGAGAGAGAAAGTTAGAGAGAGAGAGAAAGTTAGAGAGAGTGAGAGAGAGAGAGAGAGAAAGTTAGAGAGAGTGAGAGAGAGAGAGAGAAAGTTTGAGAGAGAGAGAGAGAGAGAGAGAGAGAGAGAGAGAGAGAGAGGAGAGAGAGAGAGAGAGAGAGAGAGAGAGAGAGAGAGAGTGTTAGAGGGAAGGAGGGAGAGAGGGAGAGAGGGAGAGAGGGAGAGAGAGAGAGAGAGAGAGAGAGAGAGAGAGAGAGAGAGAGAGAGAGAGAGAGAGAGAGAGAGAGAGAGAGAGAGAGAGAGAGAGAGAGTTAGAGGGAAGGAGAGAGAGAGTTAGAGGGAAGGAGAGAGAGAGAGAGAGAGAGAGAGAGAGAGAGAGAGAGAGAGAGAGAGAGAGAGAGAGAGAGAGAGAGAGAGAGAGAGAGAGAGAGAGAGAGAAAGAGAGAGAGAAAGAGAGAGAGAGAGAGAGAGAGAGAGAGAGAGAGAGAGAGAGAGAGAGAGAGAGAGAGAGAGAGAGAGAGAGAGAGAGAGAGAGAGAGAGAGAGAGAGAGAGAAAGAGAGAAAGAGAGAAAGAGAGAAAGAAAGAAGAAAGAAAGAAAGAAAGAAAGAAAGGAAGAAAGGAAGAAAGAAAGAGAGAAAGAAAGAAAGAAAGAAAGAAAGAAAGAAAGAAAGAAAGAAAGAAAGAAAGAGAGAGAGATGAAAGCAAGACAAGTATCCCAACAGGACATCAGTCGACCGCAGGAAGATCGTCCAAAGCAAGTGAAACGCTTCCTTTCCTATCAAACACATAACGCACTTATCTTCCGCGCGTTGGGTCCTCATAACCGCCCCTCCCGAAAATAGCTTCAAGACATGCGCTTCATAACTTACCGTCCTACGTACAGTGCTTTCTTGTTACGAGGGGCATCGGTTGGTTCACATGCAAGATACACTTACCTGTAAGAAAAAGAAAAATCAGTATTACTTAATGGTGAATAGCAAGAAACATGTTTAAAAAGCAACAATCTGAATAATACACAATGAAAAATACTGATATGAAATCTTAATTATCTTCCTCATTATTCACTAGCCGTGACCATACTCAAAACTAAATAGAAAAAATATTATGAAACAGAAATTTTACCTTTAGCCTTATATAAATATCTGCCAAACAAAAGGCCTTTGTTCTTTTTCCTTACACAGAACAAAGGAATAGATAGAAAACAAAAGGATAAGTTATAGGGGGAAAACATACATTTCTGTACATTTAAAAAATAGTTAGAATAATAAACATATGTCGAGTATTTATTTCGCATATTAATTTACAATTGAACACAACAAGAGGTAGCAACAACGCTAAAATAACCATGATCTAAACACAGTCTACTGAAGACTGAAAATATTTTAGTTACCCCGTACCATGCACCTTCGCCTTTCAAAGAAAACTACTATGCTCGTTTTCTATGGTAATCATGGGGAACTAAAGCAAAATATAAAAGCCTTCCACGTCACATTTCATAATGATAATTCTTAAATATATTTGAAAATATGTTTATTGACAATATATCATAAATAATTCATCAACCAGATTATATAAAATCTAATACTCATTAAAAATATTACAACTTTCTATACATTCCCGCAACATATACACTCTGAAGTTCGTGAAATCAAATGAATAGTACACCATGTTTTAGGACAGTACCGACGCAATCACCAATGTAAATCTAAAACTTCTAAACTTTAAAGGGTCCTTCGATTCAACCTTTTTCGAGATAAAACTTCTGAAGCAGAAGAGCGACTTCAATCTCAACTACAATCTCTTTCCCCTTTCCCTTCCCCCCTTTCCTTCTCTCTTTTTCTTCTCTATCCGCCTCTCCCTCGTCTCTCCTCTCCTATTGTTTCTCTACAAACTGTGAGCGCGCTCGGAAATACGTCTGCGTGTGTGTCAGCTTGTGAGTGTGCCTGTGGCCATGCATTACGTGAAAGCGCGTTCGTGCGTGCCTGCGTGTGTTCAAGGTCTAAATATTTACACAGACCTTACGTGTGCTAAAGTGTGCGTGCGCGTTCGTATTCTTCCTCGGCGAGACGCTGATCTCAGCCGGAAGACGCCCGTGTCCCGCTGTGTTCGAGTGCATTCGAGGGCGCTTGATGCATACCGAGTGGATATTGGGTCAAGGCCCTCACACTATGCAAGTCGTGTTATGAATCTGTTACGAGGATTCTCGCTTCGAATGTATTTGCTCAGGTATCTACTTATTGCGAGTTCGCCTTTGGCTGTCCATAGGGTAAAAACGAAATTGCCAAACTATATCATATAGTAAAGATTTAAAAAAATAACTTTCTGATCAGCTAGATTTCCCTTTAAGAAAAGTTACAGCTTCGATCTCTCCAAATGTTTAAGCAATCGACGAGCTCGTCCGTTTCAATGTTACTGTAATAGCATCACACTCATCTCTACAGTTTAAACAAACAACGATTGCAAATTAGTGACTGTTACAGCAAAGGTTAGTCTTACACACCCTAGCCATACGCTCTTTGAAAAAAAAAAAAAAAAAAAAAAAAAAAATCTAGTTACTTGACAGGATTATGCATTTTCTCTCTCCCTCTCTCTTCACACATACATATTTATACAAACAAGATACCACACATACTTATGTAAAAACATATATACATACATACATACATCCAGAGAGAGAGAGAGAGAGAGAGAGAGAGAGAGAGAGAGAGAGAGAGAGAGAGAGAGAGAGAGAGAGAGAGAGAGAGAGAGAGAGAGAGAGAGAGAGAGAGAGAGAGAGAGACCGAGTATATGTGTATGTGTATGTGTATGTATGTATGTATGTATGTATGTATGTATGTATGTATGTGTGGGTGTGCGTGTGTGTATGAGTGTGTGAGTGTGTGAGTGTGTGTGAGTGTGTGTGAGTGTGTGTGAGTGTGTGTGAGTGTGTGTGTGTGTGTGTGTGTGTGTGTGTGTGTGTGTGTGTGTGTGTGTGTGTGTGTGTGTGTGTGTGTGTGTGTGTGTGTGTGTGTGTGTGATTGCACGCGCGTGTATGAATGTATGTATATGCGCGCGTAAGTGTTGCTAAACTGAGTCAACATGTTTGTGAGGCGCGTTCAGAATAGATCTTTTGTTAAAGTGACCCCATGGCAAAAGCCACCTGCACGTGGGCGATCATTTTTTTACATTATCAATACCTGTATAAAGGGTGAAGGTGAGATGTATGTGTATATCTAGATAGGTATTTTGAGAGAGAAAAAGAAAATATTGTATGCCTGTGAGTGTATTCGTTTGCGTATTCGTGTGCTTGCTCGTGCGTGTGTGTGCGTGCATGTGCGTGTGCCAGAGTTCCAGAGCGAGGTCATGTGCGTGTGCGCGAGGTCCATAAGGGCGATCACAGGAAGGCCGGGCCCAGAGAGCTGGACTTGTTGGCGGCGAATCAATAAAGAGGTTGGGAACTGTCATGCGTGGCTCACTCCGGCCTCTCATGAGCGCATCGCGTAAGCACGCTTCCGTAATTTGCCTTATCCCCGCTCCACCTGCGGCGCACTGGCTCGACAGCTGCTCGCACGAGAGGCAACAGCTTCCTTCCTTCGAAAACGCCCTCTGTGCTCTCACGTCGTTGCCGTCAGCCACGAGAACGCCTGAACGAGAACGCCTTGCTATACCGAGGGCCATACACTTCGAGGCAGGGCAGGGGAAAAATGCACTCTCCAAGATGTTGCTCAGCTCAATGAAATTCTAAGCATCTGAATAAATGAATGAATAAATGGGAAACAAGACTTAATTGTCAGCGACTGAAGCCCAGTCTCCCCATCTGCCTGGTCTCTGCCGCCAAATCCTCGCTCCCCTAACAAGCCGTCATGCAACACATGCAAGGTGCTGACCTGTGGGCATCTGCTGCAGGGGTAAGGGGGGAGGGGAAGAGGAGGAGTGCTGCACCCGTGGAGGATCAATGCTGTTACAGCACATGAATACATGACGAGCCAGCCACGCCCTCCTGGCTTATCTAGGGTTATCTCTCCCTCCGCTTTCTCAAGGGCTTCTTGGCCGGGCTAATCACACTACACTTCAACCCGCGATGAAAACTGCTGGGCTCCCACAGTGTCGCAAGGGAGAGCACCAGGAGAGAAATGTATCCCGAGGAGGATTTTATGTCCTCCTCCCAAGGGACTCCTTCCTTAAAAGCAAATAAAACGCACTGGATGGAAAGCAGAATTAATCATTTCTGAAAGTTTTATGCATGAAAAGTGGATCAGTATATATGCAAAAGAGGCGGAAATTTTCGTCAAACAAGAGAGGGCACGCGATGAACCCTGATGGATTACACATAACGTCTGGCAAGAACATGAAATCCAATCAAAGATTTTATAGGTTTAACGGTGAGTGGGAAAAAACAGACTGCACTGAGGTGAAAGGCGCGCGCGCATACGCACACGTACACGCACCTGCACACGCACACACGCACAGAGAGAGAGAGAGAGAGAGAGAGAGAGAGAGAGAGAGAGAGAGAGAGAGAGAGAGAGAGAGAGAGAGAGAGAGAGAGAGAGAGAGAGAGAGAGAGAGAGGGGGGGGGGGTCATGTGCACGAAATACTGGCCACTTCATTATCTCCATGCCAGTTAATGACAATTGAAGAGTAGCATCGAAGCCCTATTAAATTTTCAGTTTTCGCGAACCGTTCTCCCATTTGGGATACATGTCCCATGTGGAATAATTGGTTGAACAAGTATGTGTGAGTGTGAGTGAGAGAGAGAGAGAGAGAGAGAGAGAGAGAGAGAGAGAGAGAGAGAGAGAGAGAGAGAGAGAGAGAGAGTGTGTGTGTGTGTGTGTGTGTGTGTGTGTGTGTGTGTGTGTGTGTGTGTGTGTGTGTGTGTGTGTGTGTGTGTGTGTGTGTGTGTGTGTGTGTGTGTGTGTGTGTGTGTGCGTGCGCGCGTGCGCGAACACTGTCTCCAAGGCAGACGGCCATACTTACCATATCTGGAAGTCCGTCTCCGGGGTGGCGTGTAGGAGTGCGCTGGGGGCGTCGTGCTACGCCCACGAGTGGAAGGTTTGGTTGAGCGACGTGGGCGTGTGCGGACCGGCGAGGTGGGCGGTGCTGTGCGTATGAGGCCGCGATAGAGCGGCGGCGTAGAGGAGGAGGCGCGGATGGCCGCGGCGGTGGGTGGCGTGGAGCGCCACCAGGGGTCGTAGAGCTCGCGCTCGTGGCTCCAGAAGGACGCCGTGGAAGCCGATGACAGGGAGTCCTCGGCCGGCTCTTCCTCAGCCTCGGCGATGTCCGGCAGGCGCGGCCCCTGGTACATGACCTCGGCCTCCGCTGGGCCTTCCTGTCCCTCCAGCGTGACGCCCGCACACCCACACAACTCTGGTAACGCCTGTAGCGGCAGCGGCGGCGGCAGCAGCAGAATGAGAATGGTGGCGCACGTGCATCACTGCGTGCCCAACGGCTACACCATACCACAGAGTGCCGTGCGTGCCCACCTGCCCGCCACGCCAACCACACACACCACACCGTCTTACTGCTCCCGCACGGCACGTCGCGTCCGTAACTTCACCATGAGAGCGACCGCTCCCCGACACTCACTTTCGAGTTCTGCTCTTCCTACATAGCATGACCTCAAGGCCGAGCATGCGCCAGGATATTGTGAGGAGTTACTGAGACATTACCTGTAAATATACGCACACGCATTGAAGACTTCGCGCTCGAAAACGTTCTAGGTCACAAAAAATTAACTCAGTAGGTACACGTGCCAGACGTTTTAGCTTCCTCAATTTCACCACCACGAACCATAAACAAATAAATATCAATCATTCTCCTGCTTCGATCATTCGTTTGATCATGTTCATTTTCGTGTGGGTATGTATTCTTGGGACCCAGTGTTCACAGAACATAAGGTCTAGCAATATTCCTATAATGCCCTAGTTTCATACATGCACAGTATATATAGCACCACGGACAGCCTGAACGCCGTGCAACACGGTACCTAAAAGACAAGTTAAAAAAAAAACACGACCAGAATCAACAAACACTAAAACCTTACGCAACGTCACTGCACCCGAAATGAAATCTTGAGCGCTCTTGCCGCGCAAGGAACTTCCAACGAAGGATTTTTGCAATGCCTCGCAGCTGAGAGCCAAGAGGCGATGCCATTGTAGGCAACTTGCGTCATCGTGTGCACCTTGCCAGGGCCTTCTCTGACCTCATCTCGACCCTCGCATCCCCGAGCAGCTTTGAACATGCTCCCCTTTCATTATCACGTCGCCGGGAAGGGAAGTAATAAATACTCCATTCTAAATTTAGTTTTCTCTTTAACGCCAAAGAATCTTTCGGAAAGTTCTTGCCAAATGTTCACGAGTTTATCATTTGTGCTAATGGACATCAACAACAAAAACTCAAGTGCCTGCAACACCAAGCGATTGACTGTCTTTCCCGAGATGTTTCCTGAATAACCAATTTCGACCTGCCGTGGAAACGATTCCCTACCGAGCTCGAGAGTGAATACCAAATGCAGAGCGAAACCTCCAATGGACAGCGGGGCGACGAGCCCACTTATCCGCGTGGGAACCCAGCTTTAATCACAATACAAACTTGCCGGAAACTTAGCCGCAGCAGCGGCGGTCGGAGGGAGGATGGCTTCTACCAAAACGACGATATGAATCGCAATCTAACAAGCTCTGAATAGTTAAAGTTCCAACAACGCTGTCCGGGAAGATCAATCGGAGACCCCCCCCCCCAAATCAGAACTGGCTGAACTAGTTACCCTCGGGGAGAGGAAGCCTCCACGAGACCAGCACATCTTTTCAGTCAAGAAATGAAACATCTTGGAGACCCGCGAACCCTCGACCTTCTTCCCTTTAATGGCTCATGGCATATCCACTTATCAGTTTAATCTGCTTGCTTCGCTCGATTGCCATAATTGCAAACTCCATTTGAAAGTGACGAAGGAACATTACGAAATCTAATTTCTAGCAAGAGATTAACATTCTTAGAGTCTTACATGAAATATAACCGAGGACATAAATTAATACTTGCAATACACATCCTGGTACTAAAAACCACGATGTCAAATTATACTATAGAGTATTCGTTCGATGGTCAATACTTTAGGCTTCCTGTGAAAGTGGACGGCAGAATACATGGTGACAGTTTAATGCGAGTCAATCAAGAAAGAGTAAGTGACAGCCAGGGAAAATTATCACTGGGCATAGAAAATGGTGAAACCATATAAATTGGACATTGGAATACCCGATACGCTTCAATAAAAACAAGGTTAATCGTCACGTCAGAAATACAAGAATCCAAGAACCTAACAGGATAAAGTAATGCAAGACCATTGAGCTAAAAGACTAGTGAAACGGCGTTGGCGCGAGAGCAAGATGGAGCAACGGGGCCGGCGTCAGTATCCCACGGAGGCGGTTACGCAGGACCGCCGGCTGACTCACTCTTAAAGTGGGTTTCATGTTCCACGAACACCACTGTACCTCTCACACCAAAAACCCGCTACATTCACACTCTAGGAGAACACAGGCGCAAAAATGCTACAAGCATTCACACAGGCACGAATACACATTGACAAATATTAAAGTGGACTGCAGTGTACGCTCGAGTAAATATGCAAGCTTGTTTACATGAATGAATACAAATACATCTAACATGTCAACTGATTTACACCCATAAAAGAAAATAAATACTTCAATAAACAAAATCACATTTTTGAAACTACTGACGAACGAAATTGGTTTCAATCCTTTCGTACCAGTGGGACTTCACAACAAACTCCTCTTTTTAGATACCGCAGACTTCATAGCCAGACCAGGAACTCGTCGGCGGCAGTAAAAAAGTAAAACACTATTAGGAAAACCTGGGAAATGAAGGATGCCCGTAATGAGACTTTTCCTTTCTTTTCCTTTCTCTTGTCTTTATCGTGAAAAAGCCTTGATCTTCCTCTCTGAGCGTGACTCACGTTTCGTGTAAAAGTCTTCCAGAGAGAAGAAGGTAAACACAGAGGCGCGACGGATTGCGTCCGTATTGGACTCTTGCCAAGGCCAGCCAATCCTATAGGACAGCCCTAAATCAGATGGCACTATTGGGCGGGTAGGGCATCCTAGACACTCCCTTCTCCACTATGAGAGTTCCAGAGTGACGCCACAGCTTGTGGGCACCCGG